CTCCGCCTCGCGCGCTGCTGGGAGCGAATGTCCGTCAGTGCGGGGGCAGGGGGCGGGTCTACGGCGCCGATGTCAGCTCGGTGCTGCGTTGAGAGAGGGGAGTGAGCGTCGTCGCTCTTCCCACAATGCCTTGCTGTACAATTTGAGCCCCATCTTGAGAGAGGGGAGTGAGCAGTTTGAATTTGAGCTCCCTCCGTGTGTGAGGCCTCGCGCGCTGCTGGGAGCGAATGTCCGTCAGTGCGGGGGCAGGGGGCGGGTCTACGGCGCCGATGTCAGCTCGGTGCTGCGTTGAGAGAGGGGAGTGAGCGTCGTCGCTCTTCCCACAATGCCTTGCTGTACAATTTGAGCCCCATCTTGAGAGAGGGGAGTGAGCAGTTTGAATTTGAGCTCCCTCCGTGTGTGAGTGCAGAGCGCACTGAGCGGGGGCTGGGCCCATCGCTGCTCGATACCCCGCCCCGCCTGCGGGCCGGGGTTTGTTCCCCGACCGCTCCCGTGGCCTTGCGGAGCCTCGGCTGTTGCCTCTGGGACTGTCTGGGGCCGCTGCGAGCGGGCTCGTTCCCACCAAGATGCGCCTGGTGCTGATCTCCAGGTAGAGACGACAAGAGACGGGGCGGGCGGCGGAGCCACGGGGCCTGGCCTCACCCGGCCGCCACTGCCGTGGTTCCTCTTCGCTCAGGGACTGACTGGCCGTCCCGCGAGAGGCCTGCTCGCCCGCCCAGGAGCCGCCGAACGCCGCCGCCCGGGCCGCGCTGCGAGGAGCAGGAAGCCCGCTCAGGGAGCTTCGCCGGGTGTCACTGCTGCGGCCGCACTGCGAGGACGAGGAGGCCGCTCGGCTTCAAGGGGGAAAGAGGAGGCCCGAAGCCCAGGAGTCGCAATCCTCGGTCCGGCGGCTGGAGGGAGGAGGCCTGCTGAGGGGCCTGTAGCTTTGCTGAAGGGGGAGGAAGAGGAGGAGCCCAACCGACCACAAACCCGGTGTGGTGCCCGATGAGTTTGGGGCTCGGCGGCTGATCCAGACGCTCGAGGCAGGAGCCGGAGGATGTATCATAGAGCCTGTTTCTCAGGCAACCGATCGTGACAACCTTCGACTGTCCCTCTGCCTTCTCCCCGGGGTGCAGAGAGCTTCACCCGCGCTGGCGGAACTCCCTCCCCACAGAGGCACCATGTCCAAGATGCCGGCTAAGAAGAAGAGCTGCTTCCAGATCACCAGTGTGACCACCGCCCAGGTGGCCAGCAGCATCACGGAGGACACTGAGAGCCTGGATGATCCAGACGAGTCCCGCACCGAGGATGTTTCCTCCGAGATCTTCGATGTGTCCCGGGCCACGGACTACGGCCCCGAGGATGTCTGCGAACGGAGTTCCTCCGAGGAGACCCTCAACAATGTGGGTGACGCTGAAACTCCCGGTGCTGTCTCCCCTAACCTCCTCCTAGATGGGCAGTTGGCGGCTCCGCCTGCTGCTGCAAAGGGGGGAGCCTTGCCCAAAAGCACCGCGGTGCCCCAAGTGGCCGCCGTCCAAATTCCCTCCGCGACGGCAGGAGGCAGCAGTGCGCAGGTTTCCGCTCCGGGGACCATGTCTCAGACTGCTGCGGCCGCATGTAGTTCACGCTTCAGGGTGATCAAGCTGGACCACGGTACGGGGGAGCCTTACCGCCTGCTGCTGCAAAGGGGGGAGCCTTGCCCAAAAGCACCGCGGTGCCCCAAGTGGCCGCCGTCCAAATTCCCTCCGCGACGGCAGGAGGCAGCAGTGCGCAGGTTTCCGCTCCGGGGACCATGTCTCAGACTGCTGCGGCCGCATGTAGTTCACGCTTCAGGGTGATCAAGCTGGACCACGGTACGGGGGAGCCTTATAGGCGGGGACGATGGACGTGTATGGAATTTTACGATCGGGACTTGGACAGTAGTGGCGTTCTAGCCAGAACAGGAGATTGCATTAGACATAGCAGCACCTTTGAGCAGGCTGCTCAGGAAAGGGACAGTGGCTTGGGTGCAACGGGGGGCTCCATAGTAATGTCAGCGGTGCCAGCATCAGCACACGGCCCTGAATCCCTAGCTGACAGCTCCCTTACTGCTGTGTCACAGCTGCTCCAGGCAGAGAAAATGAACCAGCCCTCTTTACAGCAACCTAATTTTGTCATTGGACAGCAGCAGCCCATAGGCGGGGCCATTCCTCAAAGTACTGCTCAGCCTATGTATTCCGGGGCTACGATAACGAGTCAGCAGACTATGGTGCCGCCGCAGCAAACCCAGCCACAGGTAAATGCACAAAGTGTTGTACAGGGGGGGCCTAATGGGAAGGGTATGTCCCCTGCAAATGTAACAGCCCAACCGAGCATGCTCATGTCACAGCAGCCGGTACAGCAAGCAAATATACCAGTGACTCAACCTCAGCAATTTGCTTATTCTCAGCCCCAGATTCCACCAGGGCATCTACTGCCAACGCAGTCTTCTGGCCAGACAGAATACATTCAGCACATGACAGTAATGCAGAGTCAAGGAACCATTCAACAAGCGACTACAGGCTCTGTTCCAAGTACTGGAGCTTCCAGCCTTCCTGTGGGCCAGGTGACTGGCCAGAATCCCTCACCTGTTGGAGCACCAATCATTGGAGTTTCACCACAGCCTAGTGAAACAATGGGGCAGGGATCAGGATTGATGCAGAGTGGCCAGACCCCACCTAGTCAGACTGTCATACCGCAACCAGGAGGTGTGGTGCAGCAAAGCATTGGACATTCAGGGGTTGTGCAACAGAAATCCATGACTCAGCATCAAATGAGTGGAAGCAGTCAAGTGTCTGGAATGCCTAGTGCTCCTCATACTGTAGTCTCTGGAGTTCAGAATGTGCCTGCAGTTGTACCTGGTACAAGTGTGCCTAGTGTGTCTACCACTTCTGTTACTATGCCAAATGTCCCTGTTACTTTAGTTCAGTCACAGCTGACCAGCCATACATCTGTGACTAGGAGTTCCAGTGTTGTCCAGCAACATGTTGGACTTTCACTAATGCAAGGCACAACTAATGTACTTACAAATCTGTCACAATCCAATCTTGGACAGTTTCAGACTCAAACTCAACCTTCAATAGGCCAGATTGATGATACTAGAAGAAAATCAGAACCCCTACCTCAGCCACCACTTTCTCTTATTGCTGAAAGTAAACCTCTTGTGAAGCCTCCCATTCCAGACACTCTAACAAATCCTCTTCATTTACCTGCAACTACTCCTATGAACAGTCTTGCCAGCTCTGTATTTGGCATATCTATTCCTGTTGATGGTGATGAAGACAGGTATGAGCAATTTTATTATAACTGTTTAAAATTCATATAACTGTTCAACTACATTTTAATTGGCAGATAACTTGTGTGTGTATAAGGAAGAAGTTGCCCCCCCCCCTTTCTGTATGTATTTCAAAGCTGCCAGCTGTTAATCAGATGGAAAATGGTTTATTAGATTGCTGTATAACAACATTATATTCCAATAGTTAAAACCACAATGCTCCAACCAATGTGTGTTGTCTTAATTTGAGAACTAACATTAACAAACCTCCTTGATTGCAAAGATAACAATCAAGTTCAACAGCAAGATAAATTAGAGGAAAATACTTGTACATAAGTAGCGTAAATGATCTGAAGAAAAGTTATTTCCCTCTACATTTAGCATAACCATTCTTGGGGAAGCTTTTATCCCCTCGGTAAACATATAATTTCATTAATACCATAGAATAATTTTGTTAGGCAATATTAATTGTAACTGTCAGATTTTATTAACTTTTAGTAAAAGGTACAGTGAGCGCATACATCAGTTGGTTTGCATGTATTGCAAAGGTTTTTTTCCTTATTTCCTCTGATATAAGTGTGTGTGTGTGTGTGATTTAAAAAACCTTTATAAACTTAGCCTAAGTTCTGTTGCCTAAGTTAACCAAATACGCCTGAATTTCAGTGAGGCTTTCAGGGGAAGCAGCTTGTTGTATAGAGTTGAAAATAATCTTGGTGAGGCAACCATGTGTTGTAAAGGGAGTCAGACACATTGTTACAGTTCAGATTATTATGAATAAGAAGGCAGAAATGTGTATATGTCCCTAGAGAACCAGAATAATCTTAAAAATGATAAATATTGTCTGTCAGAGAAGTGTCATATAATACAGGTCACACATCTAAGATGAACTACTAAATTTTGAAATGTAAAAATCTGGCTTGTGCAGAGTAGTATGCTGTCATGAGGGGAGGGAGGGAAGGAGGCCGGGCAGTAGAGCATAATTTCAGTAGTGCTCTTACAAAATGTAACTTTGAAAACCCAGAATACCTTAATCCAAAACCCATCCCCAGTAATGTTATTAACCAGTGTGAAATTTCTGGTACAAAATGGTTATTAAATTAGAACACTCATTACCACAGGCATAATCTGATAGTAACAGGCTTGGGGGGGCAGGAGGTTGGTGTCAAGTAGAACATTTTTATAGTCATATCAGTATTATGCATTTTAGTGTTGCTAGCAGCAGTTTATTGATATTTTTGGAAGTCCTGTTAACTTTTTAAGGTAACTTGGATTTCACTACAGCAACTATCATAAAGCTGAAAATATCTTCCAGAAGACCTCACATTTGTTGCAGCTATTCCCCTGGCATTCTTGCCAGGTAGTGGAATCCTGGAAGATGCTTTTTCTGCTTCATCAAACTACTTTGCCCTCTCCCCATGTCAAAATTTCTTTAGGAATATCAATAGATATACTGGAAGGTTCAGTTTAGTTGCAGTAGTACCAGCTTGCTATCTGTACTTCTGAAGGTTTTTTTTTAGAGGAGAAATACTTTATGTTCAGAAACTGTCTTAGCTGTTCCCATCTAAAAGTAAATCTGCAAATAAGAATTAGGAACTGACAATTACATTGTGAATTTTCTCTTTTCCTGAGTTGTTGTTAGTTTCTGTGCTGAGTATCCCAATTTTTGTGTTTCTATTAAGGTACCTATTCTTCTCAATCATCTATTTCTGCTTTGTGTGACATGAAAATATATTTGGTGTCCTAGGCATTATGCTATCCAAGGAAATCTGTGGAATATGAGGCTAGCTTTTTGTGAGGGTAAAAGTACTGGATCTATCCTTCAAGCTCTCAGCTTTCTTGTAGCTCGCCCCCATTCCTGCAAGCTGTTATGCACAGGTAGTAATTGCAGTAGGACTTAGTGCAGGAGTTGGCCCATATGGGACAGTGTGCATGACTGAGGCCAAAGAAATAATTTGTAAAATCTTGTACAGTTAACTATAGAAAGCTCTTAAAGGTACACAGTCAACTTGGATTATATTTGCTTTTGTGTACACATAACATAACCGAAAATGACTTGTTTTGCTCATTCACAGCATTCTTTGTGTGTAGATTATGCTACTGCTTTCCTTGTTTCTATGGGGCTTTCGTGCATTAATGCAGAAGAAACTCTTAAAACTGGGAAAACAATGGGCAGAGAAAAAGAAGTTGCTGGGGCAGAGGGGAGTGGAAGTCACACAGTAGTAGAATTACTTCTATTTTTGTAAGTTGACAGTGTGTCTTTAACTGAATACAGTTCACTCTTGTCCCAAGTAGGCCAGTTCCATGCTTCATTGGGCTTCCATGAATGTACATTCACAAGCATTGTATATGTTGGGGCAATATTAACAGGAGAAGACTGAATTCAGGCAACCTAAAAGAGGTAAACTATATCTTGAATGCCTTTATTCTTGCCTTTGGAGCATTCATTGTGAATCTTAATCCTATTTACAGGTCACCTGGAACAGTCAGCAAACTAGACACAGTTGGACCACTTTTTCCTAAGTCTCTTTTGTAACTACATTTAAAATAATTTGAGTTAAGCTTAAATCCTGGAAGGCAAAAATCTACCTTCCGTTACCCAAGTTACCTTATGGACTACAGTGGAGACTGCATAACAGAGAGAATTAAGCTTGGAGTGGTATATACCGGTGTCAGTCAAGTCATTCAGTGGGGAGGGCCAACTTTCCATTTAAATCATAGTATGTGGCCTAAAATAAGAATTTAGGAATGCATGCTTACCCTCATACTACAGAAAAAGTATAGGGGAAAATATGAGTGGTCTTTGTGTAGTAGTAAATCAGTCCTTAGCTATTTAAGTAAATTGTCTCATTCATTATCACTTTATATTAAAACATGTTCTCTTTCAGGGCCACTACTATTTTTATCCTTTTTATTCCTCTTCCTTTCTGTTTCTTTACATTTTTACAGTTTTCCTCCGGGTTCTTGGTTCAGTTTTTCCTTTTTATAGCAACTTAAATTCCAGCCTTCTGTGAACTTCTCTTGCATCCGTTTTACTGCTTAAAATGATCAACACTGGAACAGTTTGACCTGGAAATGTTGTCATTAGCCTTAGCGTTGACACCTCTGAAATTAACAGAGGTATTAGAGTTTAAACTTTGAATCATTGTGTTAGACTGAGACTGCCTGCCTGCAGACTTAGGAATCTAGCACAGTTAGTTTACACTTGGCACATACTTGAAGAATTTTCCCTTGCAACTGTAAGGTCTAGAAACGTTTAAAAGTGAATAAATAATTTCCATATAATATGAACATTATGATTCATGCCAATACGTCATATGAGCATGATGTCCGATACCTCTGAAGTACAGGACTTTTTAGAGAAAAGAATGAATTCAGTATATAGGTAACTCTCTTTAAAAGAATCTCTCAAATGTTGGTCTTTCAGCATTTATATGTAACCCTGCACATTTAGGGTTTCACTTGTGTTTACAAGTTGCTGTTACACATTTAAATGTGGTAAGTGTTTTTAAAGTTAAAATGAGAAGGCTAGGCTTCATACAAACTTGAATTTGCATTATCTATATATGGAGTTAGGTAGTATCTGTGCAAACAGTATGAAACTTCGTCTTAAGGTATATTGTGCATACAGTCTATCAGTAACCAGATCTAAAATGTAAAGTGGCAAGCAAGCTGTAGTTTTGGTTCTGATTTTTGTTAATCTGTACCTATTGTCCTTTGAATCTAGCAAGTTCTTTTACAATATTTTGAATAAAACTATTGTATCTAGTCCTAGTGTTGACCCAGTGAATAGTGAGTAAATGATTAGTCAGTAAATTGCAAGTGTAATGAGAGATGTTTAGATGCAACAAAGATTTTTTTAAAAACCTGATTTTTAAAGATGCTGTTAAAAAGAAATGGGGAAAATGCTTTAGACTGCAGATACCTCTCATAACTTGCATAACAAACGGTTTTGGTTCCTTTCTCCAAATTGAGTCAGTGGACTCAATATTTGAGGATAGAGGAAATAGTACATTTTTGTCAGTAGGATAGATCTAAGTGTTGGAATTACCACATATATTGGGGAACTGAGGAGAAATGCTAAGTGTCAAACTTTAAAAAAGTAGCTAAAGGTTTTTAATTCGTACCATTTTTTTAAATTAAAGATGTTGGTGAAATGGGGATTGAGGGATCTTAGTAAAAGCCAATTAAATTTGGTGTATTTCACCAGACTTCTAAAAATTCTATATTCTTTTTGGAAAGATGAATACTCAAATAGTGAAATTGTCATTTGGACTCAAACACACATACTAGCTTAGTACTGTATTTTGTCACTGGAAAAATATGTTGCCACTCTTAAAAGAATACATTATTGAGAAAGTTTGTTCAAGCCTCCTACATGTTTGGCAGACTTCAGGGGCAAAATATTACCAGGCATATTGGAAAAGGAGCAGAGTACAGATCATTTTCCAGAGATAGCTGACCAATGTGAACTGCACAGGCTATATTCCAGGAACTCTAATGAATGGCTGCAATTGTGAACTGTCAGCTACAGCAGCTAGACTGTTGAAAACCTGATTGTAAGGATCTCTTCATGGAGTATCTCCATTTAGTTAAACAGCTTATTTGTATAGCATACTAATTGTTGCTGATCAAGTATTATAATTAGTAAAACTGAGCACTTGAGGCCTCATTCATAATATAAGAACAAAACCATGCATGGGGCATTACCATAACTTTGATAAGCATTCTTTATGTATTACTCAGGATGCATATTTTATGCTCTGTTCCAGAAGAAAAATAAAGGATTATGCAAATATATACCAATAGGCATTGCTTGAATTGTGCTGTTGTTAAATACTGTCCCTCTTTTCATTCTGTTCTAAGTCTACTAGGCCTTTTCTAACTCCAATACAGCTGCAGAATTTACTCTAATTTGAGAGATTGAAAACATTCTCACATTCGTAGAGCTGAAGAAATATCTGTAGGTGTACGCAAAAAACAAATATGGGCATGTCCTATTTCATGAGTGTTT